GTCTTGCATTACTAAAAGATGATGCTCTTGGAGATAAAACCTCAGCTCCGACCTTAAACTCACTCATCTTCACAACAAATACAAATATCCATAGATTATTAGCTATAAGATTTACTTGCATGATTTTTTCTGGTTTTAATTACTTTGTTAGAAGCTATAATTTTCAAAAAAAAAAAGGTCTAGAAAACTTACCCAACCAGGAGCACTACCAGAAGAACCCTCCCATCCAATATGAGCCACATGTTTTACGTCTGTTGGAAACCCAATTTGTATTTCATCGCTCTCTTTCTCAACGGCTGAAAACAATAAATTATTCCATTTCATTTCACAATTAATGTATTAATTTTTCTTTGGTTAAACAAATATCCTTGAAGCTACAAACTACATGAAAAAAGTCTCAAAATATTACATGTGATAGTCTTTTAATACAAGTGATCAAATATTCTTGTGACAGAACAGAAAACAAAAACACAAAACATGTCGAAATGGAGCCATTTATAGCATAAGTGAAATCAAATGTCTTGTTACATCAAATAACAAAAGAAAGTTACGTAGAAGCATATGATATTAGATTCAGACATAAATTAAGATATTATAGAAAGAGAGAAAATGGCTGTGACAGAAAAAAGAGAGAGATAATGGTAAAGATTACCAAATATTTGAGAGATACATTTGAAGCCTTTGTAGATGCCCTTCATTTTGATTGACATGGTGAAGATCACAAAACGGCCAAAATATTATTCAGTTTTGCCTTGGATTACTGTTTCGTATACTCGATTACCCGAAAAATGTGTCCTTTCTATTGCAAAGATTGAAGAATCCCCACAATAACCTCCTCTCTCCTGCTTCAAAGTTCAATTCTTTGTTAACGAAAGAAAGAAAAGTTTTAGTATTTACTAATCCTATACATATTCTTATATTCAAAACAAGACACACGTAGAAAAAGATCATAAAGGAAAAAGGGTATACAAATGCATGTGAAATATGAATAAGGTTTCTCCCAAATAACAAGGCTGGAATTTATGCTTTTGTTTAAAACTTTTCTTACAAGACCTAAGCGTCATGCATGATTAAACTTTATAAAAGCACATTAATATTGGGAATTATATAATGCGATGATATCAAAACTCGGATAGCCTTTTAGCAACAAAAAAAACTCGGATAAACCACACCTGCAGTTTAGTTATGAACATTATCAGGTTATTTCGAGATTTTGACACTTCAAACCTAGGATGTTGAATTTTGGATGTTTTATCATCACGAAATTAACAAGAAATTACCTGTAATCTTATAGATTCGTCGGAAAAAAAATGATAAACACAAAAATAGAAGAATAGAGAAATAGCCTCTCGTTTGAATCTATGCTTCTTTCCTCTTTTGGAGAAGCCTCTCTTAATAAATCACAAAGCATATTATGTACAAAAATAATCTTAATGGAAAAACATAATTTCTCACAAAATTATGAAAAATAAGAGTTTCAAAAGAGAAAATGGTGAAGGCCA